GTAACCAAAAGCAATACAGATTCTGGAAGTAGACACTTCAGGCTATCTTTTCATGTGCGTATCTCAAAACCGATTTTTTGACCGAAAATCACCATTCCTGAGGGGGGCGGCCCTTAATATTTACAAAAATGACCGACGGATTAGTTTCTAAATATTCTCTGGATTACACTTGTAACGAAACGGTTGGTATTGAGCTAATAGAATAGTTGACTTTATCTGAAACATCAATGTAAAATTAAATTAAAAACGAACCTTCAACTAATATTGTTTTGCATTTATTCCAAATTGTAGCACAACGTTTCATTATTTTGTATCTACAAAAACAACATGTTAAAAATGAATATCAATCGGACCTCAAAAAACCTGATTAGATCCCGAGTTTGTTCGATTTTATCTAAGCACTTTTGCAGGCTTCTAATACTGTCTAACAAGGGCAGTATTGGAAAAAATCAGTCAAATTGACAATGCAGTTTTCTCTTATCAATATCATTCGTTTATATAAAAAAAAGCGTTAAATGCTTTTAACTTTCCTTTAATCTACAATCGCTGATAACGCAGTATTCATCAATAATATCCTAACTTGTCTTTAAGATGTGCGCAAATATGTTTTTTCTAACATAAACGTGTAAAAGCCGTAAATAATACGCAGACCGTAAAATACCGGTATCTGTAATAAATCCGAGGACACGAAATGTCCCTGGATTTGTTTAACAGAAAAGAGACGTATGTAAGCACCGTAAATTTGAAAAAAGAAAACTCCGTGGTTTGTACACCTACTTTTCTTTGAATCACATACAAAAAGTTCGTTCCATCATTGAGTAAGGTCCGTGGAGTATATAATCACGGGCTTTTCAACCCCTTCACACACTTCACTCCCTATTTTCACGGATCTGACTAACAGTTTTCGGGTTGAAAAGCCCGTGATTATATACTCTACGGACCTTACTCAATGATAGAACGAACTTTTGTATGTGATTCAGAGAAAAGTAGGTGAAAAAACCATTGAGTTTTCTTTTTTCAAATTTACAGTGAGATCATATTACATTAATTCGATAACAGTTAATCAATAAGCAATAACAGACAAGACAAAACAGCAGAAGAAACAAAATTAACCTATACTAATTGATGTCGCCAGAGTAAAGAGAACGAAAAAGGAGGAACAACGAAAACGTGAAAAAAGAAGTAAACTTTTAAGAATATTTATCTATTTATACAATGTGAAATGTCGTTTCATAAATAAGTTCTATGATTTGAATAGTGTGCATAGTGTTAAGAATAACGTGGTTTCCCCATGACACTAGCGTTTTGAGCCTAGCGTATCTTAATCAATATTTCTAGAAAAGAAAGATGATAGAGGGTAAAGAAGCAATGACTGTGTGTTGTTTTCATTCAGCTCTGTAAAACGAACTTTACGATGTGTCGTGTAGTTAACGTGTAGTATCAGTTTCAAATTATCGATAGATGACATTATACATATTAATACACTCGGATAATTTAGTTTTGCTACAATCGTCGTTAACATAATTATTAGAATTATCTTTCAAGAGAGAAATAAATAGTTGGTTATCTTTATTTTCAATACACTCTTTGTTTGACTCTTTTTTTAACATTTCAAATATCTTTGAAACAGATAAATAATTTTGATAAAAAAAAAGAATTATTATTCTCAGCATATTTCCAATCGACGCGATATTTTTTACATATAAATCGCGAGTATTCTCTTTTTCGAATACAAATGCTAATTAATGTGCTATTATGCTTTATCGATTTACTTTTGAAATGAGATGGTTAAAAAGGGGAACGATCAGATGCTTAGAACTCAATATAAGGTCGATAAGAGCTTGATCAAACAAATCCACTAACAAAATTTGGATTATCAGTTAAAATTAAACCTAAATATGAATATAATTATGAATTAGAATTCGGATGTTGAATAATACAAGTAACTATTAGTCAGCTCTATCAGACGTTGTCACTTTCATATTACACAACTTTGGCGAGTGAGTGGGTGTTAAAATCATTCAGAACTAAAATACTTCGGTAGTAGATAATAATTAAGTACGAGTTGTTGTATTTTATTTAATAAAAATAAACTTTTTTTTATACAGCTTGTTTGAATCTTTTAACATTTTGTTCTTTCTCCTCATCTTCATCGTTATTATCGTCAGTTACTTTTTTATTTTTTTCGATTTTCTTTTCAAATAGTTTAATTGTCACACACATCATATGTTTATTTGGTGATACTTTTCTTATAAAACGTATTTCATCACATTCAATATTGGGCAAGATATCGTTCAAACGTTTTTTTATATCATCTGTTTTATTTTCATTATTGGAAAATGTATAACAATAGATGTGAATAGGTAATATCCATTTTCCATTATTATCCTCTTGTTTCGATAACCATGGGGGAAATACATCGAGAAATGTTAAAGCTATTTCAGGTAAATTCATGAATATTATAATTTTATCATTCGAATAACACCAACGTTTATCTTCATCATCATATATTTCACGTTGAATTTGTTCAATTTGAGGAAAAACAACAGTCATTAAAAATTCTCGTCCATCTAAATTGTACGATTTATAATCACCATACGTACGAGCTTTTGATTTTGATTTGTTATCTTCATAATTTAGATCCATCCATTTTACACATTCAGGATTGATATCATTGGCATAAACAGTACAACCTTTACTCGCGGCTTGTATTGAAAATGGACCAACACCAGAAAATATATCAAATATATAATCTTTTGAATGGAGAAAATTCAAAATTCGCTCACGTTCACTGCCTATAACATGATGACAAACTATACGCTAAAAAAAGTATTTGTTTAAAAATTTCAAAAAACAATACAAATAGTTTCAAAACTAATACTTGATTAGAGTGGGATGATGATTCATATACAGTAGTGGATAAAATTATCTTTACGCCTATAGTGAGTGATATTGTTTGATCCAGAAATGGAGAACTTCAATTCTGAAGTTCAGTTTCTACTTTACTGTTTTTTAGTAAAGTTGGAGTTGCATTTCTATTAGCCTTGAATTGAGTTGAGTCTAGAATTTCTCAACTCCAACTCTGCAGATCCGGTTCGAAATTTTTACAGCTGCGACATTTTTCTTGTATTTTTCTTTTACATTACACTAGATTTTTCCGTTCTAGGACGTGGTACCAACATGGACGGAAAAGTGCTTATCAGAATTGAAACGAAATCGGAGTTGAACTTTTCCAGAGTTGCCCATCTCTGGTTTGATCTATAACTACCGAATGGAACATGCTTTCCACAAGCAGTTTTCATCAACAGTTTGATCATACTTCCCAGTCTATATGCAGGTGAAAACAGCTTGAATTTTCATGTAGCCTTTGCTTTATTGTAAAAATACTGTACAACTCTAAGAATTTTCGTTTTAATATGAGTTTTTCCCTATTTGCATATCGGTAGATCTAATTATCTGATTGTCCAGATCTAATGATATGTTCACAACTGCAAATCATACGTCTTAAGATATTGTTTTTAAAAAATGTTAAATGGCGGCAAAACGTAACGAACATTTTCATGATCTAGTAATAAAACGTTATTTAAACAGTGAACTTTTTAAGAATTATTACTAAAATCCTTGATCGCAGCTGAAAATGAAAAATGGGCGAACGTGTTGCACAGATCATCCATCGAAAAATCAAGACCGATCGTCGAAAATCTGCATCAAAAGTCAATTTAGAACTCGAACATGAATTAGGTACATCGGTTTCTTGCACTAGAATAAAACGACAATTACTTGAAATAGGTTTCAATTGGACGTGTTGCCTGAGAGCAACCTCATGTTAATAAAGTCGTTTATGAGATTGACCTATGTGGAAACATATTGAGAGGAATCTTTGATATATTGATCAGTTCCAACGTTAAAGTACGGAGATAGTAACATAATGATCTGGGGGACGTTACGCATGAAATAGTATAGAAAGTCTAGTTTTTATCGACGTACGTACGGCTAAAAAGACATACAAATCTATTTTACAAAAAAATTTCATACGATCGGCCAAAAATTGTCGTTTGCCAAAAAAATTCATTTTTCAGTATAACAATGCTTCATAGCATACAGCACATACTGTTAGCAAATGACTAGACAATAAGTCCGTTACAAATAGACTTCATAGATGTATCAGACAAAAAGAGTATTAAACACGTGATCAGTTTTGTTTTTTTGTTAACTGACAAAAATTTTTGTTCATTGTACGAATGAACAGCTTTTTTGGTGTTTCTACGATAAAGCAAAGACTGTATGAAAATTCAAGCTGTTTTCACCTGCATATAGACTGGGAAGTATGATCAAAATGTTGATGAAAACTGCTTGTGGAAAGCATGTTCCATTCGGTCGTTATAGATCAAACAATATCACTTAGTATTGGCGTACAGATAATTTTGACTGCCACTATATCTACGTAGAAAAGCAAATTGTAAATTCTGTTGTCTTTATACTGACAGTTCTCTTTTCTCGCATGCAATTTCTTATATACATCTTAATCTAGTTTATAAAACAATAATCAGAACTTACCAAGACGTGGATTCCAATATACTTTGGCAAAATCAAATTTGAAAATTTCATTATTTTCTTTACATGTTACAATTGTATTCTGTTCACCCGCTAATATTTCAAAATCAAAATTTCTATATACGCTATCAATTTCGCGTAATTTATTCACCACAGTTTTTACATTTGAAAGTTTATCCAAAATAGCTTGAGCTAAATTAAATAGAATAAATAATAATAACAGACTGCATCATCATAAATTTTTTGTTTCCCTAAATCATACCAATAATATATTTGTATGGTAAAACAGGATCTTTTAGATTAAAATGTGCAATATGTCCAATTTGACTATAACCACTGCCCGTATTCACATTTTTTTCTAATATATCATCGGGTACTATAGCTCGAACAATTTCATCGGCAGTATAATTTTTATATGTAATATTAATTTGTTTATAATTGAATGATTGTTCAATTGGATTTTTATCAATTGACGATGGTAATAACTTTACAATATCTTCTTTAGTTTTTATTTTATCGGGATTAAATAATATTTGTTTATGTGTTTTTGATAGAGGTTCTAAATCTTGAATATATTTTATTTGACGAATATCTAATAAAACATTTTTCCAATCAATTTTTTTTATTTGTTCAATTGATACTGTTACACATGGTACTTGAATAATGGTTTGAAATTTTTCATGATCAATTACTTGTGCACCTTTAACATCTTTTGGTAATGGTAAATGCATTAATCGATAGAAATGAACAAATTGTGAACATGACAAATAATTCTTAAAAAAATATTTTATCAACATTAGAGAACATATCTGAAATGCGACTAAATCAAACGTTAAATCGAAAAAAAAAAAGAAAAATAAATATATAAAATGAAAAATATATTTTTATTTCTTTAGTTTATCAATTGAATATACAAACAGATAAAAAAATAAATACGAAAAATTATGATGTCTCCATTTTTTCAATTTTGACTGAAGTTGAGGCTGTCTTTTTGACTTGATCGTTCGTTGAAGAGTCAATTCCTTCTTTAACATAGAGTAACATATCAAACGCTTCTTTTAATGCTCTTAAACATGGATATTCACTAGTATAGCCACCAGCTCGTTCAGATGGTTTTTCTCGACGTACATTATTCAAATAACTAGAAAATCAGATATTTTAAATTTAAGATAATTTATTTCTAATCTAAAACAGTACCCTAATCGATCTAAATCTGAACTATCTGGTAATGTTGGCCCGTGAGGATCATCAATTGGCTTTACATATTCATACAATGGCTGAACTTCATCATTTTTCGGCTAAATATTTCAAAATGACAAATGATTATAGCTTTTGGTGCATAAATAAGGGCGAAAATGTTGAGCTTCACTGTATTTAAATTAAAGATGTTGAAGACTTGATTTTTTTTGATATTTGTTAAAAAAATAAATCATAACTATTTTTTTCGATTAATTTTTCATAGAAGATTTGTGATTTTCACCAACGGAAACTTAAAACTTTGATACGTTTTTTGTTCTAAAATGAACGCTCTAGATCTTCGAAAAACCAGGTTATTCCTCATAAAATTTAAACAAAAATATTTTTACCTTCTCATCAGTAGATAGCCCAGTATTCTCAAGAAAATGGGAGTCATCCGACCTGTTCATCTTTCATTTTTTTAGACAAGACACAGGAGTTCCACGGCCGATCTTTCTTACATACGAGAACCTTAAAAAAGACTAGAACAAAGTTTATCGGATATAGTTAAAAAAATTTTATCTTCGAGAAGAATTTGATAAATACTTCTAAGGATAGCGAAGATCTTAGTTCATTTCATGAAAAATTAAAAAATCAAAATTAAATAACTTTCATATTCTAATTTTAATGCATTAGTACACGGTTTGGCCAGGTAACTCTGCTGCGACAGTGTAATTCCGTCATAGTATTTTTGCATTTTTGTTTCTCTTATAATTTTCGAAGAACAACATGTTCAGAGTTCTGAGACATCCAAATTAAAGAAAAAAGTGTGTTGCACATTTTGAGATGTTTCCGCATTTTACACGATCTTTCGATAAAAATATAGACACTTACTTTATTCCGATAAGTTTTGAAAAGTATGTGTTTGCATTTTTATCATATTCTCTGAACGAAAGAATGTGTACAATGTGGAAACATCTCAAAATGTTCAGCACACTTTTCTCTTTAATTTGGATGTCTCAGAACTCTGGACATGTTGTTGTTCGAAAATTATAAGAGAAACGAAATGCAAAAAAACTGTGACGGAATTACACCCCGGTAGCAGATTTAGCTGGCCAAGCCGTACGTTACCTGATTTTTGAAGCATGAAAAAAATCCTCTCATATCTTCACAGTTTTTCAGAAAACGTTTTTAAAAACCATAAAATATTTTTCTTTGATTTTCTAAACTTGTTGTCTTACATTCATGTTAAATGAAGAAAATATTCTGTTAGAAAGTATCACATGATGCGCTAAACAAGAGTATCTTCTACTAAAATCTTTAGTTTTCTCAGAAATTCACTGGATTTTCAAGTCTTTCAAGTCTCAATTCATAAATGAAAAAAATCAATTTTTCCTTATTTTTTGTCGTTTTCCAAAAAAAATTCACTGCTACAATGTAAATATCAACATGAAGAAAAAAATAAAGTTTATTTAGAGTCGCGGAAAAGCATTTTGTCGTATTCAGCACACTCAATAACTCAGATTTTCTATTTTTGGCAAATAGGATATTTGATACTGATAGAAGTTTAGGAAAATTTTTCGAACAAAATGGCGAAAAAATGTCCATAGCAAAATAATATTAGTTTCAAAACTTTTGACAATACGTCTCGCCAAAAATAGAAAATCTTGTGAGTTACCGAGGATGCTGAATATGAAAAATCTTGCTAAAATCTTCATTTATTAATAAATATAACCTTTTACTTTTCACGATTTTATGTACTAGAAACTATATTCTATCTAATAAAAAAATATATCAAGTCACCAACATTTTCAATTTATAGACAATGGTAAATTTTAATATTTAGACCATTTTGATGTATACGTCAGAGAAAAGGCAACATTATCATACCAAATTTAATTGTATCGACTGAAGTTGTTCCCGTTTAGCTTCTAAACCCTGAATTCGTGTTTTATGACTTTCTATAACACGATGAACATTCCCATCTGACTGCATCTAAACATAATTATAAAAATATTCTGATGAATGAGAAGAAAATTAAACAAGTTTTTCGAAATAACTGTACACACAACGCTCTATCAGTGAAAAATGTCAAATAAATAGAATAACGAGTAAAGCTTCTCTACTTTTTCTTTCATACCAATGCTTCAATTAAATCTTCTTTAACTTTTTTCTTTGCTTCCATTTCTTCTTGTAATTCTTGTTCATGTACACGTTTTCTTAACTCATCTGTTTGTCGTTCTTGCTCAACAAGATATTCAATGTACATTTCATCTTTACTCTAAGAACAAAATAATAAAAATATATTTTATATCTTTTTTTCAACTTACTTACCAGTCGTCCACGATTTTTTGCAATTATGTCTTTATATACTTCTTTGTAATCTGCCATTTTTCGTTCTGTTTCTTCAACATCAATTTTATTAACAATATTAAAAACTAGAATATAAACAGAATAAAATTTAAAAATGACTATAGAATACTATTCAAAATCCAACTAAATCTTACTATATCCTTCAATCATTTCTAAATAATCATTATAAGCATCTAATGTTGGAAAATCAGTTTCTTTTTTATTAAAACTAAATAAGAACAATAAAAATAAACAAAAATAAGTTTAAAATCAATGGTCAAAATATCATACATTTTTAATATTCGTTTTCGAACATCAGTTTCTCTTTCAATATAGGGATCTTCAAATATTTGATAACGAAACGTATTTTTTTTCAAAAATGTATGACATTCATGACAATTGCCAACACCTTTAACAAACACAAAATTTACACATGTTTCACAACTAAAATAATAATAGACGTAACAACTAGATGAAAGACTAGAATTTAATCGCAATTACTTACAGTGAATGACCACATGTACTGACCATCAATTTCATTTTGGGATTTCTGTACTTGGTTGTTTGACATCGTGGACAGCTAAGATCCATTTCTTTTTTAAAAATGAAATTTGATCTAAAAGTAGATAAAATAAAAAAAACATCAAAAAATCTCGACATTTAGATTATAAAAGTTTTATCATTGCTACGTCGTTCGATAATTATTTATCGGTCATTAAAACATCAAATTGTGTGTTTTCATTTTTTTCTACTAGATGAATTTTAGATACAATATGCATAGATTTATCAATTTCTAATTAATCAAATTTTCAATAAAAATTGAAATTCAAAACAGAATGAATTGTCGATGTAGTGATTTTTGTATATGAAACATGATTTTATGGAATTTAAAACTTTGAAAAACGAATTTGTTTTTCAGTTGAAAAGTATCCAAGATACTCATTCGAAAACCATAATGTGTAACATCAGATAGTCGAGTTCCATACTCTATATCTCAATCGGAATATATTTAAAAAAAAAGTTGTATATTCAATCGGTCCACAGCACTTTCGTCACCATAACTTTCGTCATTCGGTAACGGTGAATTTTCGCCACATGACAAAAGTTCTGTTTTCCAGTGGCAAAAATTCATGCGGCATATAACGAAAGTTTAACTATGTTTACACAGTGGTTACGAAAGTTAACTCCTTTTGTGACGAAAGTGTCTGGTTTTTTAGACAGGTCAGCACTTTCGTCACACGTTGCATGAAACGGCTGCGATGAAATCAAGGCTTAGTGCAAAGTTCATTAGTCCAAAGTGATGTAGTGCAAACTGCAGTAATGCAAACTGGAGCAGTGTAAATTGGAGTAATAACTTGCTTTTTTCTTTACAAACATCGCATTTTCTTAGCGAAAAGCATAAAATCCTCTTGAAGTATTCTTCTAAAGGCAAGTATCAAAATCAAGTGTCTATTGCATTTGGGAGTAGTTCGTTCTGAGGTAGTCTACACTGCAGCAGTCCAAATTGGAGTATTCCAGTAGTTCTTTTTGGGTTGTGACGAAAGTTCGCGATGCGGTGTGACGAAAGTTGTAGATATGTTACAAAGTTGGTTACAAAAGTTCACCACTCTTGTGACCAAAGTGTGGGGTGGTGCTTCCCAAACATACTATACACTTTTGTCACGTATGACGAAAGCAGACCCGTCACAAGGATTTTTACCAAGGGCGGACCGATTCTTTTTTCCCTTTAGGGGTAGTATGGAATTATTTTTCTGATTGAGCGTAGAAGTGTTGTACAAAAACTTGCGTTTGTCTGCTCATACCACCTGGCAACTTTTTCTTTTCATACGATAAACGAGTAAAACAAAGTAAAACATTTCTACTGGAAATATTAAGACTGTTCCTTTGCTACGAGTTGTTACTGAGAAAAAAATGTTCAGCTGTAGGAAAAGAAATCTTTTTCTCTGTTTTTCTATCACCACGAAAAAATGCTTTTCGACGTCACCCATACGCAGTTTTATTTTGACTGCCATAATATTGTGAGCTGACTCTAGGACATCTTCGGGACAGAGTATGGAAAGTATAAAAACACCGGAAGTTTGACGTTATTCAGCGAGGAAAAAATCATTTCTTCAACAGTTCAGGGGGGAACTAGTCCCCTCGATCTTCCTCCCTGGCTACGGGCCTGGACGAAAGTTCTTTTTTCTATGTGACGAAAATGCTATCAGCCATTCGATCAGGATATAAAATACTAAAGTTAGCAATAAAAACGATTATCGTCAAAAATCAGACAGGTATTCCTTCATATTATTGAACATACTTATACTATGTTCAACTCAAAATCGAAAAATTTGTGGAAAAGAGGAATTTTATTCTCAGTATATCATACTCAAATGTTACATACCTGATTCGAACATTTTTTCTACAATTATTACAAGAAGTCAAAAATGATACGTTTCTTCTTTGTCTTTCTTATCCATCATCACTAGACCTAAAAACGGTCACTGTTCTTTTTAGTGTAAACGCTAAAACACGTTGACGTTCTTTGAACGTGAACTTTATTTTATGCCAGCGATGTTCATCTTGTGTCGAATGAAAATTATATTGAGGCTAACGTACGCATAGATTAATTTAGAAGAATTAGTTAGAAGAACGCATGTCAAGAAATAGAGAAAAAATGCTTTATATGGATTCAGATACCGTCATTCTCTCACAGAGTCTTACATTTACCTCAGACAATATGAACACTCCTTGGTATAAATAAAGTTCACATTCAAGGAATGCCAGCGAGAACTTTAATAGACTCAGTCTTTACAGATTTGAATGGTCAAAAACGTTTTGCACAAGTTTTATGTAACACAGTCTTATCATGCAACAATCTGAATGTTCTACAGTAACTTCACTGTATCAGTCGTTATACTGGCAAAAAAAAATGTAGTATTTAATCCAGCGAGATTTAGATTACATTTCTTTTAAAAAAGGTCCGTCTAATAAATACACACAAACAAATAAATATTTCAATTAAAAAAAAAGGAAAGGAAGAACAACACATTTGTCGAGAAAACAACGAAAGTAACAACTATCTGTTCTAGTTTAGAAGAAATAGAAAAATAGATATAACTAGATACATATAAGACGACGGTTTTTTATTTTATTTTTTTTTAAACATACTCATACACGTAAAGCACGAGAAAATACACAATCACAATATTTCATCACTGGATCAGAAATGGAAGAAAAAATATGTCAAATTTATCGATAAGAAACTAGGATAAAATAAAGCAATATCATTCTCTTTTGGAATTGAACTAAAAAAACTTTTTTAATTTTAATTGAAATGTATATTTATCACGATTTTGAACGTTTTTTTAACATAAAATTTTGATCGGGTATTAAATCATGATTGTTTACACGTTTATGAATTATATTTCGAATTTTTGTTTTATCTAGAGTATCTTGAATCGTTTTCTCGGACGATTGAATATTTCTAAAAGAAAACGAAAAATATAGAATATTAAACTAATAAAATATTTTATATTTATAAAAAAAAAGATTATCAAATTTTTTAGACATGCAACTTTATTTTAGAAGCACTTTTTTTGTTGTTGTTGTTTGTTTGGTGTAAAAGCACATGCAATTTCTAGCAAAGTCATTTTGTTTTCAAGCAAACACTGCAAACTACCTGACGTCTATAAGGAATAAATGACGAGCATGATAGAGGATTAGGAAAACTATCGGACATCATCATTATTGACGGTGGAACTGCTTGTGTTGTAATTATATCATCATTTGAATCTGACATGGTTGTAAAACGTCGTGATGATCGAATATATTGCTGAGAAGATGACGTCGATTGACTAAAGTGTGCGTAGAGGTATGGTAAAAACAAAACTTATCTAAGTCGAATTTTAGAGATAACATCTTATTCTTATATATATATAATTATTTTTTTGCTTCTTAGAATCTTTGAAAATTTTATTTTTTATGTACATACCTATTTTTAAGTAATTTTGCTTTTTCTTTTGTCCATGCATCTTTAAAATCATTACAAAATCCATACCATAGTTTAAAAAATTCTTTTGGATCCATTTCATCATTATTTGTTGATGGTGTAGAAGAAGAAGGCGAAATTGTCGATGATGTTGTTACTGCTTTAATACAAAATTTTTTACATGTTTCATGAAATTGAGATTTCGCTTTTTTAAATTGTTTATTTGTTTCACTATGTTCTTGTTGTGCTTTGGTTAAAAATGTTGTTACATGTTGACAAAATCGATCATCATCATCATTTTGTTTAGGATTTTTATCTAATTCATCTTTAACTATATCAACACGTCGTTGACATTCATTTATTTTTGTACGTAAACTTTCAATACATCGTTCAATTTCATCAAAATTAACATTTGATGCAGTTAAAAGATCGGATGGTTCTGGTACTGGTAATTGAAATTTTGTAATATTTGTTGTATCTGTTTTAGTTAATAATATAGGAGATAATTGAAGTATAGGTCTTGATGAAAGAGTGGCTAAACATTCGTTTGAACTATTAACCGAATCTGTAAAACAAAAAATCAGAAGGAATAAAAAAAATTTCTAAACTTAAAATACATACCATTTCCTGTATTTGTAAATGCATTTGGTTTTTTCATTTGAAATTGTTTAATATATTGTTCTGCTAGATAATTTAATAATGTTGAACAATTATCTTTTGTTTTAACATCTTTTAGTGTTGGTAAAATATTTAAACCAAAACCATCGGCACAACCACGTGAATTATTTTTTGCATTTAAAAAATTTCCAATAGCCAATATGAGACCCAATAATTGTTTTAATGATGTTGAATGTATTAATTCATCACATGCTGTTAACAATGTATTTAATTGTGCATCAATTGAACTCAATGTTTCATTAAATGATATTTCAAATACAAGACAATGTAAACGATCAGACATACAAGAAATTTTTAATAGACCCGTTAAAAACTGTTCAGGTTTATCTAATGCTTGATTATCATTTATATAAGGTTCTAATAATTGAATTTCATCATCGGTTGGCTGATAATTATATACACCCGTTAATGTTTCAATATTCATACATGATGTATCACATTTTAATAAATAGTCTTTTATTGTTGTTACATCTAAATGTCGAGATGAAATAAATATACCAATTGCACGAGAACGTTTTTCATCTAACAATTTGACGGTTTCTTTTCCATTAGAAGATTTTGTTGATGGTGTTGTGGAATGTTGATCAGTAATCTTTTTTGATGAGATAATAACAGTTTTTTCAAACATTTTTGCTAATGAATCTTCATCAAATGTTGCTTCTTCAATATTTAACCATATAGCATCAGAATGATTTACATTTAAGACAATTTTATTCCAATATAATGGTTTAACATCTTTTTTTGGATCATAAGTTCGACGATTTGGTTTTTTAAATGGTAAAATAGGTTTAGCAAGAGAATTTGGGAAGAAGGGTGGCGGTGAAGGAATACCCATCATCATCGGTGGTGCAGGAGGAATAGGAGAAGAAAAATTTGGTAGTGATGGGGGTGATGGTATCGATGAAGAAAAAAAGGTTGGTGACGTAGAAGAAGACGGAATGCATGGAACAAATGATGGCACTGATGGACAAATTGGTTGTTCACTAAAAATAAAGATATTCATAATTCAATTTCTCAGAAGAAAAATAATACTGTTGAGAGAGTAAAGTACAACGGATAATTGTAGTATGGAAACAAAGTAGCAGATAATGATTGATAATAACACGTCTTATAATGGTAAACTTCTTAAAGTGACTGTAACTTAGATTATTCAGAAAAAAATTTCTGAGAAATAAATTTTCATCTATTCAATTTTTTGCTGTTTCTTACCAAGATTGTATACGTTCAATAATATTCTGTTCTTCTCTATCCATTGTTTTAACAGTATTTTGTTTTCCTACTTCGATGGTAATATCAGATATGATAGAGTTTATTTCATCGTGAGTAACCAATGAAAGACATGATTGAGCTTGTTTAATCGTCTCTTCAATTAAATCTAATAAACTAGTCATTACATTGTGAACATCATCATTATTTATGACATAAGACTTTTGACTGTCTGATTTTGTTTTTGATTGTTGTCGTTTTAGTCCATTTGTTGTTGTTGTTGTCATTGTTGTAGTCGGTTTTTTACTGCGATTAGATATAATTTTATGTGACGCTATTGATTTTGTTAGTTCAGGTGTTTTATTTTCACCATTTTCTACTCTGTCAGTTGTAGAAATAGACATAGTAGGATGTTTTTCCATCGTAATTGAATACGGTAATGTATTACTACGACATTTTAAAACGTTCGTATTCGAATGAACACTATCACGAGTTTGTGGAGTATTTAAAGTACAAAGACATTGACGATCGTTGTCATTATCGTTATCGTAAGTCGTTGATGTAGGTGCTGTGACTAACATTGTGAATAACATAGATAATTCATCTTGTTCTAAATAACGCTTACTTCTCGATAAATAATAATCCAATGATTTTCCACGTGTAAGTAATGAATGGAATTGTTGACGTGAAACTAGAGATCGTTCTTCTTTCTGTTGTTGAACAGTAACTAACACTGGTAATTGTTCGATTGTTGATAATGATTTTTGACTAGGATTTAAACAGCGTTCTTGGTGTTGAAAATAAATATTATTTGGTAATGAATTTGAACGTGATGTTTTCTTTACAATTATTCCTCCATTATTCATGGTTGTCAATAACAAATTATTTCGAATCATTAAAGTTTTACCATCGTCAAATTTAGTTTCTGTCGACTGATGATTGCGACGATATGGAAAAGATTTTAACTGAAAATTATACAAATAAAGAAATATAATAGATAACCATCAGCTTTATAAACAGAAAATAGAAGAAAAGATGTATCTGTCATGTTTCAACTTCTTAGAGCCTTACCTCTGTGAATGTCGAAAATGAAAAATTAGTCCAACTACAGCAATTTCTCATACAATTGAATAGAGTAAAATAAATTAGTAACATACTCGAACAGAAATAATAAAAAAACAGATTGAGTCATTTTAGGTATTTCCTTTTCATAAGTATTTTTAAACTTCAAGACCTCTTAGTGGTATAAAAATAATAAAGTATCATCATTTACCTTCGTTTTTAGATCTAAGTTATTTAATAATAATAATCGTATATTCGAATCAATATTTCTTGTTTATTGTATAATGACGTAATGAAATAAACTTGTTCCAGTATCAAAACTGTAATCACGCTGAAAAAAAACAAAAGGTAAAATAATAATTATATAATGCAATTGAATAAATGAAAATCATGATACACATACACTTAATATATCATAAATAGTCGTTAGTAATGAATTTTTTTGATGACACTGACAAGGATTGTATCAGCTAAATAAAGAAAAGAAAATAAACAAAACATTTCGTTAATTTTACTAACATATGTTAGAAAAGCGTCAACAAAATAATAGGTGAAAGAACTTTTAAGAGGTAACACACATATACAACTAGAGAAGAAGCAACCTATATCAAACATAACAAAAATTCATGCTTTATAATAATCAAGTAAAGAATTAACAAGCATGATTAATAAATTGAATTATACTGCAAATAAAAGCTTTTTATTGTTTATACCTGTCTTTGATAAGGACTAAAACTGAATTGGACAAAAAACACACAATATGTATACACAAACAATCAATAGACTACTTCCTCATTGTACAATGAGAGCTTACCTTCAATTGTTATTGTCTTTTGATCAATATATTTTTGTTCATTACTACTATGTGTTGTTCAACTGTACAAGTTTTGTACCTAAATAGAAAATTATCAAATGTGTATTGAAAAAAAGAAAAACACTATTTGTACTATTATTTATTATTGTACACAAATCAATCTATTTGTTTGTCTATTTATATTCTTAGTCATTAACGAAGAAATTAGATCAATGATGAAAACTCTATCATTCATAAAGAACCCCTTCTGCGAACAGAAGATTTTAGTTTTCACTTTAGTAATTTTCTCATTCATTCATTCATTTATTTATTGAGGCGTAAACTTGAAATCTACTTTTAGAGTACAATCTTAATAACTAAAATCCGTATCATGATCTCTCAATTTGAATTCTTATTATGTCGACACATATTATGAGGTTTTTTTCTTGTTTGGTCATCTTTTTTTTGGAAAAATGTGAGCAGTATGATCTCGAGAACTACACCATGTAGAGAAAAGTCTGAATACGGGAGGTGGTTCTCCGGATACTCAAGATGGATCAATGAGTGCTCTTTTTTAAAAGAAAAAAGGTCTCGGATCGGCGTCACAGGGTCCGAAAGTGGAAAAAATCTGCCTTTTGGACTTAGATCATAAGTTCATTAGTAACTGGTTATCCGGCGCCATCAGAAGAAAAAACATCTCTCTCTCTTTCCTTTTTTTCTGTTGATATTGAATGGATCATCGTGACTCCTAGTCTTCTAAGAGAAACTAACATCGAAAACCTGCTCGCTGTGAGACCGCTTTTGGCAGCTGCCAACAGAGATAGAGTCTGTCGACGTCGCAGCTTATGCACAGTATAATTGTAATCTAGTATTGCATTCTTGGTAGAAATATTGACAAATAAAAACTGAAAATAGTTAAGCTCATATTTTCAAGACTATTGGGACATATCGTTGTCATCTTTTACATAAAATTCAGTTTTTCATTCGCTATAATTAAAAACTCGTTGAGAACTTCATTTCGTTTAAGCTGAAAATTTTGCTGAAGAAATCTAAGAACATTTCTGAGCTATACTTTGTGGATTTCTATTTATTATTTTTTCCGAGTAGTTTTTAGCAGAATTTTCAATATTTTCATTCTTGCACGTTTAAAGAATTCCATGAAACACATATCTCAGAAATGTTTCATTGGTCTCATTTTACAGTTCACATCTGACTTTCAAAATATATTCTTTCCCAAATATCTAACACAATTTTCAAAATTTTATGAAAAATGAAGGTTCACCGTTAAAAACGATCTTGAGAAGATATAGTTCGCTCGATTTATGTACCTTTAATTATTTGTTTCGAAAATGAAAAATAACAAATATTAATCGAGCATCGCATCATTATAAAAAAAAGTCAACTTTACTGTGTATCCAACAATTACAACCAGATTTTCAACTAATAGAAAGAAGAAAAGAAAAAAAAAATTTTCTGATGCTTTTTCCTTCATCTCAGGACATTTTATCATGTTAAAATTAAAAATGTTCACGATTATCATAATTGTTTCAATGCAACCAGAATGTAAAAATGCTTTTGATTATTCAATGAAACAACAATTAACAAAAAAAGATGATGAAGACGTTGAAAACAAGAAGAATAGTTTAAATAACAATAATATCAACAGACATGACAATAGAACGAGCATTTATCTACCAATGATGAATGAACAAAATTATTTTCATTTCACAAAAGCTTATATATCAACACATCGTTTAATATTTGCTAAATTTTTATTGTTAATTATTCTCGGAAGTTTCTTTTGGATATGTTCATGTATTCTTATTATTCGACAAGTATATCGCGATAAAATTACCCAGCAAGAAAGACAAATACGGACAATTCTAACACACAGACAAGATCAAGAGAAAAATTTATTTGATCATTCGAGAATCAATATCAATACAATATCAATTAGAATATAATGAAATATGTGATTGTTTACAAACAATTATATTTAACACAATTTTGTTTGTAAAAAGATAAAGAACTTTTTCACAATTTTGTTTAGTAAAGAGGGTGATTAGACTCTAGAAATTCAAATTTTAACACTCTAATTAGAGATGGGCGAGTCACCACTTTTTCGAGTCCGAGTCAGTAGCCTTCGAGTAGAGGTTCGAGCTGCATCAAAAAATTGACTTGAGTCATTTTCTAGAGGAAACCTTCGTTCTGATTCATTTTTCCAAGAACAGATCTTCAATCCTCTCATGTGACGCGATGTTCTACTTAGAATATCCTCAAATCTCTCTGATTCCAATAAGTATCAAAATAAGCATTTCTTAGTTAAGTGTACAGTAGTGTGACTATGTAGACTATAAAATTTCAATGACATAGTTACAAGTTCGAAGTCACTTTTCACTATGTAAATTTCTCTGGAATCAAGCATAATTTCCGTACTAGAGAATTATGCAGCGTCTCTATTTGTAGATCAAACCACTGCTCTTTAACACAAAAGGAAATCCGAAAAATCTTTAATTCTCTGTCATTTACTGGTTCTGGACCTGTTTTTATTGCAAATATCATAAAAACTGTACGATTATGTGACTTAAAATGTGTTACTTACACTCAGTTTTTCATGTTCGTTTCAATACTACTATTGAAAAATGTTTAAATCCATTTAGAGAAAAAAAGTTGAATGGTCTTATAATTTTCGTTACTAATCATCAACTGCAGCTCTGGTCAGAAGGCTAGTTTGACACAGAGTTCTTTTGTCCGATTACTTGAGCTCCCATACACACTCACTAATAACGTACTAGCTTTTCGGAAAGCCATGAGGACTAGCTGGAGAAGTTTATTATACGTCACAACGTAGTGAGTATCTCCCAAGACATAGGTAAATTGTCCAAGGTTATTACATGATTTTGCAGGCGTCCAGGTTCGAACACGATATCTTTGAAGTACGTGACGAACAACATAACCATCAAGTCATGCTGATGACTAGTAATGAAATGGATGACCATTTCAGAAGCTTGTCAACTGTAGGGAAGATATTGGGCTAATGAAACTGCCATTTGGCAGCACTCTATATCATAACGATAGCCACAAAGCGGGGTATTGGTTCTGTTCTTCTTTCTCATAATTTTTCACATATTAGTATAATACACTCTTGTTCGTCTTTTATCGATTTTAGTTTTCAGCTTACTCGTATGGGAAAATGTTTGATATTTTATATTTTTTTAAAGTATTTTTTATTTTATTTGAATCTTGGGTAATGTGTCTGAGAAAAGTCTTTGAAAAATAATAAGATATATATCAAAAGAACAGATTAAACATCTGTAAAATTCAAAACTGAAGTGATTACTGATTAATTGTAGGCTAATATTTTAAAAAAGAAAACTTGCATAAGCCGAATTAAGAAGAAATATTTGAAAAATAATTTAATAAAAAAAACAAAGAGTTTACTACATACCTTATATTTTTTAAACCTAGACTATTTTGCACCACAACTGGGTGTTAAACGTTGTACGATTACTTTATGGTTATATTAATTATAATTTTTTTTTTCTCTCACTCTCATTAAACTAGTATAGCATAACTCTTTTGTTTACGATTATCCTTCGATGTTCATCAGAACTATCGCGAAACATCATCATGGAAGGAAGAAGGTACTCACTGTTTCTCCCTATGCTCTTTTTCATTTTTTATCATTCTCTTCTTTTTCGTCACATTTTTTTATTTTCGACTATTGTATACCCAAAGCAACGATATCATATAAATTAATTGAACTGGACATATTTGATAACGCTCTTTTTTTTTTTTCTATACGATGATAATGATGACGATCAAGACATGTTCAATGTCAAAGGTTATTATAGACTTGGAGTGTATTTTAATTGACAAAAAAAAAAAAGAAGAAAAAAAAAATGTTCAAGGTTATCACATGATTCAAGGTACAAACAGCTCATAAAAATTCGCTTAGCGACTTTTTCAATTAATTTTCAAAGACTAAGATGGTCTACTGATAAAGTTAAATAAGGAAAACATATTTATGAGTAGAACGAATTTGATATTAAGTGTTAAGAATAACGTGTGCTTGTCTTTGGATGAAATACTATCCTTATGATATAGAGATTTCAAACAGACAAGAAAGAGAGAGAGTAAACTGTCTTATTCGTTGAAAATGTGTAAAACTTTGACAATAAATTGATGAGATACAAGAGTGATAATCGAACCACGAATATTAAATTAATTCGATAGTCAACAGTTACAGTTTTACTTGATACACATGTTTATAATAATGATCCAGTTATATCAATAATATTTAGAACAATATTTTTAAATTTTTATTCATTTGATATCCTTGAACTGTTAACAGACTTTTTAGTCGATAATGTGTCCGTAATTAGATGTCCTTTTATGACATTAATTGATTGATCCAGTTCTAAAAATAGGGACCATTGAAATAATTGTTAACATCTCGAATACGATGATTTTAGAATATCATCACTATTAAAGAGGAAAAAAAAAGAAAACTATCTATTTCTATTGCAATAGAAATAAATAGATAAATGATCAAATCAAATCAAAATGAACACAACGATACATCGCATAAAAATAATTTTTTCTTCACCTATTTGATATCTAATTCAATTCAATAGCAAGAAAAATGTGTTTGTCAAATAATTTATGTTATTCACACATCACATATCCATATTATGCATCTAATTATGTATATATCATTGACCGTTAAACATTGTTCTTATTTTCTACACAAACTGCTGACTTTTTAACACCTTTTTTTTTCTTTAGCAAACCACACAACACAATAGATAGTTAATAGAACAATATATATTGATTACCTTCAAATGTTCGATCGATAAGGACGCGATTTTACCATTGAAACTCACAAAACGTTAACAAAAGAATAGACATGTAGGATACATATACTCATTTTTAGACTTCGAGAGTACGACGACGATTTTACGGCAGAAATTAAAACAGGTTTTCAGATAAAATTTCTTGATCTCACTATCATAGATATTATGTACGTGTTCAATAGAAAAACCTAACATTCTATGATACAAAGATAATTGACCTCTAGTACAGTACCTAGAAGAGTTTTATGTCATTTTCTAATAATAATAATAATAGATTAGAAAATAAAGGTGAATTGTGGTGATGATTTAAATAAGCAAACAATATTTGTATTTCTAATACGAATATTGTTCTTTTTCTTTGCTCTTCATAAAATCGTAAATACATTTTTAAAAATATCTTGAATCTTCACCTTAACTATGATAACTTAAGTAAGAAAGAATTTTGAATTAAACCAATAGTCCATTGAGCTTTGAACTAGTAATAACTTAGAAAAAAAAAAAAAAACTAAACACGATGATATATCTCCATCATCTTCCTATCGTACGTTTATCTCATAATTTCACACCTTTTCCTCTATTTCTATTATATAAAGGTGATATATTAACATGAATCAAAACAAGACAATCATTTTTCTTTTTTTCATGTTATTTCACACGTCTTTTTTTTTATCTGTTCAAAGAAATTCATCTATGTCTAAACATATTGATTTGCTTCATTTTTTATTTTTGACTCATATTATTCACATTGTGTCTTTTTCTTTTCTCTCATTTTCATTTATATACCTTGAATACAAATAGAAATATAAACATGATATCATTGATCATCATAATGTAATATAATGAAATGAATATTGAGGTCCTCCATGATGGGATAAGTTTTATTCTCATGATATTATTATTATATGCTATTCGTCGACTATTATACAAAAAAGAAAAAAAAAATCAATAGTGGAACCAATTTTTTAATTAATATCGATCTTTTAAAAAGAAAACTTCATTATCGATTGCTATCAAAAATGTTTTGCCTTCTCACTTTAATATGCTATACACCATACATATATACATAGATACTCATAACTAACAAAAGAGTCAGATAGCCTATTTCATAATGATTTTTAGAAGTGTACAAGATGAAACCTTCGAAAATAGTTATGAAAATGAAAACATGATAGTGAAGGTATATCGTATCGGTATATAAACGATGCTAAGATACCACGCATACAAGATCTCATTTAGTAAATGTAAACTGAATTAATGAACAACGATCTTATTTAGGGTCTTTGAATTTTTTCACTTTTAAAAATGTGATTGTGGTGACATAAAAAAAATTGTTTACAGTAAAATTTTCTGTAAGAATTTTCCACATAGATGTTTATATAGGAGTATGAAAAAAAATATTGAATGCAGAAAATAAGTTACCATAGAAGTACATTCTAGTTTTGTTTTTCCAAGACTTTTTATAAACTTGTCGCTAGAATTATTAGCGCTCGCTTCTAATCATAAAACAATCTGGATTTCTCGAATCCAATAAATGAATTAAAATAATATTTATGTTCAAATGATGCAGTAGATAAATAAATGAAATATAAGTTTCATAACTTACATTAAATATTTGTTGATTATCATCTTTTATACTCCTACCATACCTACCATCTACTTTTAAAACATCATGGTACAACACGATGGTTATAATCGAAGAGGTTAATTTTTTTAGACTCTATTAACAAAAGATAGATCTTCACTACTAATTTAGTATCTTAAAGACAATATTCAAGAATTCGGTTGAATTTAATATATGATGTTTTCTCAGAACCACTAATATTTCTCGTTCGATAGATCTTTTCCTTAGCGTATGAGAAAAGTATTATTCTGAATAAACAAGTGAATAATTCGAGAAAAAGAAAGAAAATATATTCGCATATTATCGTTTTTTTTTATTAAATAAATATGTGAATCATGTTTTATTTTACCAGAAAATTTGGCATACTTCTTATATTGTAAGCAAGGATATATAAACAAAGGATATTGTTATGCTCATTACGCATTTGACGATGACAACGGTAAAAGTTATATAAAGCGAAGGCATCGTCATCATTAAAAGATACCACTGTAGTTTTTTATTTTTACGTCAAATTCTTTTTTTAAATACATCAACAATATTTACATGTTTTCGTTCTTCATATATATATCATTACTGTTGGCTAAATATCAATTCAATTTTGCATTGGCGTTATTATCGTTATCTGAATCAGACATTGTATTTATCGATGAAATACATGATGGTGCCATAACTTTTCAAGCACATGAAAAATGATCAATAAATACACTTTTAAAATCAGTTCAACAGTAGCTTTGCATTCAATATCAACTATGAAGATAATCTCTGATGAGAAGATTTATTTTTATACACTTGTAACCTATCGATATGAAGATTCGATGAACCCATAATAATTTACATGAACGACCGCAGTGATGGTGTATCTCAGATCAGAGTTCAGTCCAACAGTACTTTGTCAGACAAGGAATAGAAAGATGTAGTCGGATCTGTGACGCGACATGGCTAGAATATGTTTACATGTAAAAGTATTTTTATACTGAATTGAAACTAAGGCAGAGTTTCCATTAAAACTGTCATAACAATTGCTAGATAAAACTATGTCATTAACTAGATACAAACGCTTGTTTTCGACACTTGAGCACAAGAAATCGGCGTAAAATAAGCTATAATTTAGAAATTATGTGAATAAGAAAAGTGTGAGCTAGGAGAGTCTGAGATAATAACGCATGATCAACAACAGACAATAACTTGAGGAGCATTAATGCTCGACTGTATTACTGACAAAAAGTACTAAACTTCTGGTAAGAAGTGATCAGCCATTCCAATGCCCGACTTCTAGAAGATAGGAGGGCAAGTACGCCAGTTTTTTAATTTTCAATATGTTCACATTCTATGTG